AGATTTTATTTAGTATTTAATGTGGTAGCAAAATTCTTACATTTATGCTTGATTCCTGTTTTACTAAAATTTGATTTCTTATAATTTCAACTACCATTACATTTAATTAGTTTAAACGTAGACTTGGTAATTATCTTAGAATGTGACTGGTTAATTAATTTATTGTAAATTAAGCTGTTGTAGGCTATTAAGACCAGAGGTGCGATTATTCTTGTTTCAGAGTGGCGCCATCTATGATCAAAAATTCGACTTCCGTCACACCCGCTTATAGGACGGACCCATTCATACATCCATTCATTCATCCACAGATAGTAATTTTGATCTGAGCTGGAGAACGACAGATCTCCTATTCAGTACCACCAGAGGATGATGATATTATTAGAACATAGAGGGATTTGTGACCCGACAGATTTAAGGTGCACTACTCACCATTTACTGCACCGGGAGTCTTTGGCCGGCTGAATTATGTGTTAAGTGATGGTAACAGGTGAACTAGGTATTTGTCTGCAATACCACCTTGCTGTAATAATTATTTCACTACCACCAGGAAACAGATTAATTTAAAAGCGTAAAAATTGACAGGTATGGCATTACATTAATTAATGATCCGCATTATTCTATGATTGTTAGCCATTCTGTTAAAAATATTGTATAATACATTTAAAATAGCATTTTGAAGTACTCAGAGTGCAAAAGGTTGAGTCCTTCAGAAACAAATAGCTTTTTGTTGTTTTAACTTATATAAACGTAGCGCCTTATTTTAGATTTTCGCTTATCTGCAACTGTCACGTTACGATTCGTCATATCATGTTTTCCATTTTGACATATGTTGCATACATTAAGTCCAATCTTTTACGACTAAGATATACTATTTAAATATGTTTTTTCTCGTAATATTTGGAAGAATTTGAGATATTTTAAGATAGTCTCTTTTACTTTCCCCCAAGTTTTACATGATTTCAATTTTTATAGTAATACTGAACTTCAAATAATCTAAAATTTATATATTTTTTCTTTCTTTTTTTGGAAAGAAAAGTAATAGCGTTTAAAGTTAAAGAATATTTGCCTTTTGAACAAAATGACTTTTAATCGTATTATTATCAGCAGGCCTGATATATTTTGACTTTGAAATTGTTTCATAATAGTATCTAAATTTTGAAAACTTAAACATGCTTCGAAGTATAATACCTGCTAAAAATACCTTCATTTCCTTTATTGGGATGTGAAAACTTCCAAAACTAATTTCATAAAAGTTAACTTGATGAAAGTTTAAGATATCTTGAGATAAAGCTCGTCACTACTGTTTAATTTTTCCATCAAACAATCAAAAGATTAAACTTTTAGAATTTTGAATGAATTATCCTACATTTTAACTTCTACTTCGTTTGAACTTCTACTTTCTTCTTAAAAGTAACACGTGCGAGGTTAGTTTTGGAAGCAAACATATTCATTTAAATCATCAGGATGTCCTGGTTGTCAAAACATCTTGTTTTACTCTAGAAAACTTGACGATGAGTGTCACAGTACACCAACACCTTATTTATTTATATCTTATTATTTTTATTTTGACTTACAGAACGTAATAAATAATGCACACATGGAAAAAGTGGTAGTTAGTTATTTGATCACGCTTTGTTTAAACGAAGTGGATATTTTTATTCATTTGAAAAATATATTGGTGACCAATTTTAGCTGAAAATATAATTCTTCAAATTATTTATTCTAACATTGTAGGCATGGATATTTTTAATTGTTTAGCCTAGAATTGATCTATTAACATTTTTCAGCATTTTCAAAGAGAGACTTTTAAAGAAATGCGTCCTTAAAAGAGTTGAATTTGAATTTAGAATATTAATGAGAGGTCTAAAAATACTGCGACGTGGTGGCTCAGGGGATAGAGCGCTCGTTTTCCAATAAGGTGACTCAGATTCGAATCCTAGCGATGTCTGGTCAATACGAATTTCGCCTCCTGCTCACGTTGACCACAGTGTTGAGATAAAATATCCTCAGTGGTAGACGGATCATGAGTTTTAGAATCCCCTTGCCGTGAGACTAACCATGGGAGGTTTTCGGGTATTTTATCGCCATGTAATGCAAATGTTAACCATGCAACGCCATGTAGTTCTATCAAGAAGTTCTCCAAGAGGGAAAATTTATCCAGATGCTTGTTCCTGGAGTTCGTTCGTCTTCTATGGGTTCAAAATTATATGGCTACGGAGTTGAACATTGATAGTCGTTAACTTAGAATTGGGTGGGCTGTTCAACGCCGGTTATCTATACATAATAATAAACGCGGCTGTATGTGTGTCTGTAATCACAATATATCGCCTCAAAAGCCTAGCCCAGGCACGAAACTCAGCACATAATTGTGTTTTGACATAACGAAGAAGTTTTTTTTTTTCTTTTTCAAAAATTTGGATTAGTTTTTTAGTTATCAGTCATTTTATGAGAAAATCTATGCTTTTTCGTCTTCAAAAAACTATTAAGAAATGCATATACTTTTCTCCACTCTTATAAATGTATGCTAATGCGAACCTTACAATTGAAATATTAATTTTCGACAACTTAAACCAATAATATACGAAGGAATTAATAATTTAATTGTAAAGTTCGCATTAGTTTACATTTATTAAAGTGGAGAAAAGTTTAACTTTTGTATTAAAAATGTGGCAACATATTCGATACGTAAATAGAACGCTTCGCTTTGATATATTTGTCGCTGTTCATAATTGTTATAATAAGTTTTTCTTCTTCTTTCCACGCTCTTTTTTTTTTTTCTTAAGCGAAGACGATAATTTTTATAGCGATATTGTAGTACTTTGTACAACTAAAAATTCTTTTCACAACACTTTAAAAATATTTACTTTATTTTCTTTATATATACAGAGAACAGTCGGCAAAGAATTCGATTAGGTTGAAAAACATTTCGCTAAAAAGGAACGAATTCCAAAAGAAAAAATAAACAACTTAAAGAATAAAAATGCTGATGCCAGCCAATTTTTTGAAAGTTAACTTAGAAATAACAAACCAAACGATGTTAAATAACAAACCAAACGATGTTAACAAAATGACGTAGAAAGCGCAACTAGATCAAAATTATACAAGCACAACTAGATCAAATTATAATACCTGAGTGCTTGACGTAACAGATATAGAAATAGAATTTGATACCATAAAAAATTATATAGAAATAGAAATTGATACCATAAAAAATTTATTCGTTTTCGTGTTCTTTTCATGTATTTAGCATTTTAGTTTTTTTTTTCTTAAGCGTTGTAGCTATATAATTTCAAACATCCTCAAGAGCTATAACACATCTGCAGCAGAACTGGATATGAAGACAAAATTGCAGGACAGGAACACTTTAATTGTCCACTAATCTTCAGATTCCCTGCTATGTTTTAAAAAACTTTATTTGTGAAAACCTTTAGCGTGGCGGACAGTTAAATAAAATAAAATGGGTCTAATAATTTGGCTTAAGTACAAATAAATTCATTTTTTAAAATTTCCAAAGTTGATTTTGTGATCTAACGTACGTCAGAAATCTTTAATACTTTTGCCAAAACAAGTAAGAAAACCTCAATTTAGTTACAACTTAAGCTATAAAGTAAGGAACTAAAGTTATTATTTCGTGCATGCATCTTTTGCCGCAAAAAGCAACACTAAAACAGAAAAGTGATGCTGCGCATACTTATTACAACTTAGTTGTTGACTGATAAAAACCAGCTATTTTATGCACATAATTCCAATTGGACAATAAAAACTAACCCTTCTTTTCTCTGCTTTTATCCATATCGTTGCTTCTCATTAATAAAAAAAAGAGAGAATAAACGAACAGTTTCTTTTTCGTTTTATGCACCAAAACAAATTAATAAATTACTTTTACTCATATTGTTAGAAGGAAAATGTTCGTGACTGTTTGACGTCAAACTATTGTCTGAATATCACGCCAAGAACTGGATGAATTCGTTTAATGCTCGCATATTTATGCTGCACGTGATGTAATTGAACTAAGAATGTGTGCGACTGAAGCTTTTCATCACTCGTATAATTCCAAAGTTTTCATGCTTTTTTTTCCTCGAAGTTTTACCCTCTGAGGAGCATAATTCCTGACTTTTGCCGAACTTTGAGCTACAAGCTTTCCTGCATCAAATTTAGCATATTTTTAAAATTTACTATTGAAGTTATGGCTGCCAACTTTCTACGCTTTTTGTAACAATTTATTCCTGTGGTAGCTACCTTAAAATTGAAGCATTTTTTTTTTTTTACTATTTTTGTAAGTTAAACTAATAAGCAGTAGAACAAATAAGGATTAAAAATTATTTATTGCATTAAATTATATTGGGTAAACAAATTTCATTATTGCTTTCAAATTTTTTCGATTAAAAATTTCTTAAGAAATTTTCGAGATATGACGAAAGACGCAAAAATTGAAACTGACGTGGCTTAAACTTCTGACCGTTTTCCAGACTACACCGTTGGGAAATTATTTCTACATAATTTGAGGATAAAAAATTCCTAATCCGGTATGTTTATTCAGAGAAAGTGTCTGATTTCATATATTAAAATATCGTCTGCACTAATTATTTAGCATATTTATAGTCAACCTTTAACCCATTAAGATTGATTCTGTCCTACTACGCGTAAATCCAATCATTAGATCAAAAATTATTTAGAATGTTTTCTTTTTGTCACACTGAATAAGAATTGCTGTAAAACGGTTCAAATAATTATCTTATTTTTCAAAAATAAATGGAAAGAAAGTGAAGCGGTTTACTACAAAACTCAAATATATTAATGAAATAATTCGAAGTAAATTTAATCTAACTATTTTGTAGTCATGAGATGAAATCATATTAGTGACGACAATGACTAATCAGTTTTAAATTGTTTACTAATGCAGTAAACAACGAGAATGAAGCAATTTTAAGATCAGCATATTTATGCTCATATTATTAACCGAGCTCTCTTAATATTTGTAAGCATAATATTTGACTTACTTCTTTAGAAGCTTTATAACTTTCTTTACGTCATCCATATTTAAGAATCTTCATTTAACATTCAAAGAGAAGAAGAATTGGCAAAATGGTTTTGAAAAATAGTTTGTTGCATTTGTCATTGTATATTCCGTCTTATGCGTTTCTTCGATCCGTTAAAAATAATTTTACCCCGTAACAACCATTACTCTTATGATGTTTCATTAAATTCCGTCAAACGATATTTTTTTAGCAGATACTACCAAACAATATGTTTTCACTGAAAGCCATCAAACGATATTTTTTTATCGAATGTCTATGAATATTATATTCATCAAACTGAAACATTTCTCCAAAAACATTAAACTGATAATTAAACTGAAACTAAATCACAAGCCAAAGAAACAGAATTTTCGGTAACGAAATACATAATTTGAAATATTAAAGGAGCCACGAATAACAGAACACACAGCTGCGAACAAACGAATATCGTGACGAACTGCTACTGAATGATTGCGGGTGTAATCTCTATCATTTTTCACCTTTTTTCCGATTTTTACTTCAAACCGCTTAAGGTAATCGCCTTTTGATACGATTTAACTCTCATCTTTCATCCAGCGTTCGAAATTAGTTTTTAAATTCATATCTTTCTTTTTTCTAGGTGACTGTCACAAAGCTTCGAAATCCATCTCTAGAACATTTTGAATGATTTTAGTTTTTGGTCAAGGTTAGCGTCAAGATCTATTAAAAACGTAACTCAATGCACTACTAAAATAATTTCTTTTTTAACTAAAAAAAAAAAAGAACTGTCTTGAGCAAGAAAATAAAACTACTTCTTGTAGAATTTTCCAGTTCTCTGATCTGTTTTACGTCAGTATCAGTTTCTGATGCCACAGGCAAGGTCAAAATTCAGAAAGGTAACCAGTTCATTGCCACCGTTTAAAATTTTCTTCTACTAATCTTTTAAAAATTACGCAACATATCACGTACTACTGTGCCAGCAAGGTGAGAGTAATAGAGGGCTGTGGGGAAGGTGATAACTGGATTCACTTATAGCTTGCTTCTTTACTTGAAAGAAAATTAGAGATGTGTGCTTGGCATAATTATAGATGCTTTATGAAAAGTAGTTTTCGGTAGGCATAGTTTTTTTTTTAGTGTAAAGAAAGTAAAGTTTTACGCATTTTAACACTTTGTTAATCGACAAAGAAATGCTTCGTTTCCAAGATTTTACATCAACATTTTTATTATATTATTGTTGGGCAAGGATGCATGCCTTATCAAAGCTAAATATTACTCTAATAATTCGAATTCTTATTGTTTTATTATTCTAATTCTAATTGTTCTCTGTATTCGGCAAGCCTTGTCGAAGGAAGCACCAACCGTTCTGAATGTTGTATATACATTCATTATCTAACTTGTCTAATGTGTAATAAGTTAATTATAGTAGTTGAAACTGTATTATTATATCGATTTTAATTATTTGAAGATAGAAAACTCGAGAGCATTTAACAAAATTTTAAATGCACGTTTTATTTACTTGATGCATTTTTAACAAAAACTAACCCTAAAGTAATTGAACACGTTCAAGAAAATTTCAGTCATTTTCTTCTGTCATGTGATGCAATGGACCTTCTACATACGTCAACTCATACACATACGTATAGTACGTTTGATGTGAGTAGACGTGAAGTTTGTTCTATGTTTTTTCACTCTTTCTTTTCCGGTTTCAAAAAATTTAAGCTGATAAAATAAAATGGTGAATTTTTTTTTCCAATTGTGTTTATAATTTTCTGTTATTAGCTTTCATTCTGAAATAATAAAAAAAAAACTCGACCTCATACCTGCACTTGGAGTTATTAAGATACCTCAAACAGGCTAAAACAGTTTTTTCCTTATTTTCAAAACCTATTTTTATTTATTATTACGATATTATTATTGTTCGCAATTGTTATGGGGCTCGTACAGAATTTAATTACGTAATTTATAATTATGTTACTTTGGAGGAAATGGTTTTTTTTGTTTTTAGCACTAGTTCTTGAACATACATTCATTGACTAATGTGTGACGAACACACACAGCACAAACCTATGACGCATGCTCTAACATGAGATGTAATACGAAAAAAATCAAACTAAGATCACGTCCATGGGATCATGGGCTGCTGGAAACAGAAAGGTTCGTCTCATATAAGATACCGTGGGCAGTGAAGGAAGAATCACACGATCATATATGTATATAGCTGGCAATTCTTACGTATTTTTAGAAAAATTTTACTTTTATATTTAAAGTGATAAAAAAAATTCTAATTTATTCTTGGATTTATAAATTTATTTAAGAATAATTTTAACTACTACTTCATATGAAATAATTAAGGAGTTATATAAATATATGATAAGCATAAGTTCGTGCAGTCAAAGTTTGACTGAGAGACGGCAGTGAAAAGTTTGATTCTGACCCACGCGATTACGAAGGCAGTTTTAGCTCTGATTCTTGGAGCTTGTGGTGATAGTTATAAGAATGTGTATAGTCTAACGCTAGTAGAAAAGATGGTTTAAGCAGGGAGAAAATTGCAGTCAATTGCAAGCTTACTACTTGTGGTAAATATTCAAGTGAATATTTTTTTTTTTTTTTTAATTTTATTTTTTATATTATTATTATTATTTTACACTGAAAGTATACAGTGAATTAAGCCATGGAGGTCCAAGATCCAAATAGCAATGAATATCCTATTACAACAACTACTCCTCAGCCAGGAGATATGGCGCAACAACTCTCTATCATGAATTTTCGGTTATGTGCTCTAGTTGAGCAAGTCGCAAAATTAAACGAACAAATAGAGGATCTTCGCACCAAGAACTCTCAATTGGAAGCTGAGAAAAGACATCTGGAAAAAGCTCTTGATAAAGCACAAGAACCAGTGATTTCTCCAACCCTTCCGATTACACATAAAAAACGCAAGATATCAACTAAAAAGAAAACGAAAAGCAAGCAAAATACAACTGCGGCAACTAAAAATGACGCCACCAGCAGCAATGAAGACAAACAAATATCAAACGATAATAAACTAAGCGATTCATTGGAAACCGATGAAGAAAACGCTATGGAGCTTGAAAAAGTTATTGATACGTTTCCATCAGCAGAAAGCGGCGAAGAAGAATTCAACAAAAACAAGAAACCTCGATTTGAAACTGATGACAAAAAACAACGAGAAGNTTTTTTCTTCTTTAAATTAGAGCCTTGCTTCGGAGATTTAAGACACTCAAACTTAATTTAATTTTCTTAGTATAAAGAACAATTTTAAAAAATACTTTTCGACAATTGTTTGGTTTTACTATCTCTCTACCAATAAGGATTTGAAGAACCCTTATAAAAACGAAAAACAGAATTTATTCATATTCATTACTTGGTAGAACGTCTACAAAAGACAATTTCAAATTTATTCCTCTGGGATCAAACTTTCTTTAAGTTTGCGTATGACGGCTATTGATATTTTCATCCACATAACTTGGAGAAGGCATAAAAGTTCTTTCACTAATTTTAGACGGTTGTTGCACCTTTTCGTCTCAGTGTTCATTAGGGTTAAGGTCTGAGTACTGGGCAGGCCAGTCCATTCCATCAATCCCATTGTCACCGTGTCAATTCATGGTATGCTTTGCAATATGATGGCTAATGTTATCGGTTTGGAAGAAACATGGGTATAGCCAATTACCATCCATGGGTCAAATGCATTGTCATTCATAATAATGTAGCAAGTGTCGACGTTGAGTTTACCATGAACAGGAATCAAGAGTCCCAGACAACATCTTTGATCAGGGCAGCCAAATTCTTCGCTTTTCGAAAATATTTTATAGAGTGGTAGACACTTAAAAAACTAAAGCTTTCAGAATAATTCGTAATTTGACCAACATTTCAAAAGCCTCACACCGAAAAAGCTGGACTTACTTTATTTACAAAAATTGGTCACCTGGGCCGCGCAGAAGGCCCATATCCCATACGTCATGTATTATTGCAGAAATTTAAAATAAAAAACAGCTTGAGTTCATCAGTCTATGGGGTGGCTGCGAAAGAGATGAAACAAAATGAAGTTTCATATGACCTCATTCACATGAAGTGGTGTGGAAAACAACTTCAAATTTACAAAAAAATGAGTCATTCATTAAATTATAAGTTCATCTACAGCAAGAAAAATTTTTTCCAAAAAGAGTAGAAAGGTGGCAGCTTTGTCTTAACTGAGTGACTCCTATCACTACCATACCAGAGAAACATCTCCAGATTCTAGTTCCACCTCCGGGTATCCAAATACTTATAGGTAGATAGTGTACATGCAGAACATGGATAATTTCTTTCAATCAGATTCATAATTTGATGTTACCTCTCGGAAGATTAAGGCTCAGCAACAAACATATTACTTTCATTCCGAATTTTTGAACACTCATAAGAAACGAGGTGTCAGAAAAATCAGGAAATGCTGTCACAATCCACGAGACATACGCGGAGTGTCTCTAAATATTTTTTTGAAACTAATCCAAGAGCAACACCTATTCCGACAACAAGGCGAGAAAGCAAGTAAAAAGCAAACAAATGCGCCCCCCTTTTTTTTATTTACCAACCGTGAATGTGTTTTTCAGGTGTTTTCTTTAGAAATCTGGAAGACAACCAAGAAAAGGTCCCTGACACGATGACAACAAGAAAAAAATTGTCGAGGAAAACTGTAATTGAGTTCAATGCTTTTCAACGTCAACAAAAATCATCATCTCAAATAAAATCACGTGTTGATAGTTTAATTCTCATTTTATCGTTAAAATATTCCCCTTTAACCTTTTCGGGACGGGCGAGTCATAAATGCATTCGTACGGATTCAGAATCAGGATAGTAAAAAATAAAAAGCGGTAGCTTAAGTTTGGGCATAGCTAATTTGACAGACTGCCTACCAGGTGGTCGAGCGGTTAGCGTGCCCGACTGTGGTGCCAGTAGCTGCGGGTTCGAATCCCACTCTGGACATGGATGTTTCTTTCTCTCTCTTTGTGTTCTATGTCCTTTATCCTTTGTGTGGGATTGTGTGAATGTGACCCGCCCTATAAACGGGTTTGTGGTTGTGTGACGTGGGCGACGCTGATCCACCGCCGTGGCTTCGCCACAGGTGCCCACTGGGTAACGAGAAGAGGGTAGCAGTTCTGGCACTTTCAGAGGCCAATGGACAGTAGTTCCAAGGGCCTGCCATTAAGAAAAAATTTGACAGACTTATTTTTGCTTTCACTTTAAATCTAACACATCCGATCCCTGCGTGTTAAAAGTGTAGCTATACAATTTTTAATCTGAGCTAAGTAGTGGTGAATTAAATAAAGCAAATTATTATTACCCCACCCACAAATAAGGAGCTATAAAAATAGTTTGGCTATCAGTTTTATTTTTTTTACCCTGATTAATCAACACCCTGAGAATGCATATGACTCGCCCGTTTCGAAGAGGTTAACGAAGGCCTTGAATGTCAAAATCGGACAATGATACAGCATCCAAAATTAACTTATTTAGATCAGAGTTCTTGGAGAGTTTAATGGTTAAAAGGAGAAAAAATGATAGATCATCGTGTTATATAATTAAGATTTTTTTACCAAAAGATAGTTAGACAGTTATTTCTGTCATAATATATTAATATGAATAATTGAATGTAACGTTATAGTACAGTTTTTTTTTTAAGGCGAGAGTGGTAGGTGTTTAGAAAATTAGGTTTTAACGAAACATCATCACCCACACGGTTCATAGAATGAAATTAGCTCTCAGTGATT